CTTCCAGAGTATCAAGTGTGAGAATCTGATGAAGGAATGATTGCATTGAGCAGCATGAGAAGTACAAGTAGGAAACCCTAATGTGTTGTACCCCATTTTGACTACCCCACTACAGCCTAAACAGACTATAGCATATAAGTTCGACACACCCCCTTAGGCAAAGTGGGGGAGAACAAGGGGTCACAAGACCAGTCAAGAGAAGCAAGGCAAGCCCAGGGTGGATAACAACGTCACCACACAATCTGAGCACAAGCACAAGGCCACAAGGCCAGCTCACATGTAGAGTTATATAGCAAGAAGAACAAGCAAGGCAGTGATCTCAACCAAGCAAAGGTAAGCATGCAAGTGCAGGTATATATAGATCACAGTACAAGTAAAGTCAAGAAGTGAGCAAGTGAGGCGAGGTAGGCACAAGACCTAGCAAAGTACAACAACGCTGATGATCACAAGGCGCAAGTGCTTTGGTAAAGATATCAGCAGTGTTGGCCTCAGAGGCCACGTAAGCAAGGCGCAGTTGACCGCGCTGCTGCAGCTCACGAGCAAGGAAGTAGCGAAGAGCAATGTGCTTCGTTTTGTGCTCCAGTCTGTGCTCTCGACACAAGGCCAGCATGGCCTTGTTGTCTACGTACAGAACTGGAGGAGAACGAGGCTGCTCACCAAGGTCAGTCAGCAGGTAGGTGAGCCAGCGTAGATCCTGTGCAGCCATGGCCCCTGCGTAGATCTCGGCCTCACAGCTGGAGCCGAGAACAGAAGACGAGCGGGTAGACCGCCACGAGACAGAGCCGAAACCAAGGCTGAAGGTGTAACCCTGTGACGACCGCTGTGTAGCCTGGTCGTCAGCACAAGAAGCGTCTGCGTGGCCAGTGAGGACCACTGGACATCGCCCTCCAAGCACTAGCCCCATGCCCGACGTACTGCACAAGTAGCGCAACACCCTCTTCGCTGCAGCCATGTGCTCTGGTCGGTGTCTTCCTGGAGCCACATAGCGTGCCAAGATGCTAAGAGGGTATGCTAGGTCAGGTCGTGTGCAGGACATCAGGTACATGAGGCAGCCAACAAGCTCGGGGTACGGGCCACTCGGCTCTACGGACTCATCCGAAGGCAGAGCTGAGAGTGAGTGGCGAGTAGACAGAGGAGTGGCCTGAGGCGAGGAGTACGTGAAGTAGTAGCGCTGAAGGACCTGCTGCACCATGTGTGACTGAGTCAGGGTAATGGTGCGCTGTGCTCTGTCCCGGGTGATCTGCAAGCCAAGGTAGCTGCGCAGTTCACCCAGGTCTGTGCACGTGTGTCTCTTTTACAGCTCGGACTTCATGTAGGCGAGTCCAGCAGTGTCAGCAGTGGCAAAGACCAAGTCGTCGACGTACACGAGGATGTAGAACGGCGACAGAGAGGTGTCGGTGCGCAGAAACAGCGACGGGTCAGCAGTAGAAGGAGCAAACCCAAGAGCCGCAAGTGTAGTCCTCAATGTGTCATGCCACTCACGGGGCGCCTTGCGGAGACCGTAGACTGGCCGCCGGAGGCTCCACTCGGTACTAGGAGGGAACGACCCAGTGAAGCCAGGTGGGCGGCGCAGCCAGATCTCCTCGTGCAGGCTGCCCTGCAGGAAAGCTGTGCTGGAGTCAAGAGAGTGAAGCTCGTAGTTGCGCTGAGTGGCTATGTGCAGCAGCACGCAAAGAGTGGTCATCTTCGGGGTGGGAGAGAAGGTCTGAAAGTAGTCAACCCCCTGCCGCTGACTGAAGCCTCGAGCCATGTAATGCGCCTTGAAGACAGGCGGAGAGCCTGGCGGCCGCTTCACCCTGAAGATCCACATGCCACTGACGATGTTCGCCCCAAGGTGGGGGAACGTCGTCAACGTAGGTGCCTGTGGACTTCCAGGAAGCCATCTCTGCGTCCATGGCTGACTGCCATTGAGAGGAGTAGGGACCCTCGATCGCCTCAGCGTACGATTGAGGAGTCGGGATGTCTGGTGCATCCGGGTCTCCCTCAGGGGCAATCAGCGTGGACACAAGATCAGGCAAAGCAGCAGCAAAACACTGGAGCTCCTCCTGCCTGTCCTCAAGGACGTCCGTACTAAGAGCACACTCACCCCCGACGGACAGAGGACAGAGAGACTCAGACTCGGCAACAAGACTAGCAGCGTAGTCTAGACGACAACGAGCAGCAAAGTCGACAAGCTTAGCAACTAAGGCAGACGCAGTAGTGGACGCAAACGAAGGGTCAGTGACAAAAGCAGCCAGGAGACGCGTGACAGTAGGACTGGTAGCACGAAGAGATTCAGACTCAAGGTCAGCAAGAGTAGGAAGAGAGGACTCTGGAGGAGACGGCAACGGGACACACAGAGGAGCAGTGGAAGGACGCAATGCCATCTGGTGTGTGCCGGGGACAGCAGGAGGACGCGGATGCGGAGCACGACCACTAGCGCGAGCAGCACGAACAGGCGACGCAGGACGAGACGCAGGCTCACGACGCTCGGCAAGACCTCCAGTAGGACCAGTGTAGGGAGAAGGAGCAGGGAGCGGGAAGGCAGGCTGTAACTGTGACCGCGATTGGACAGGCTGTGGACACGCTAAGGGAGGAGCAGGACCAGTAGAGGGCGGGAGACCAAGAACCTGCTCAAGGAGTGGAACGAAGTACGGTCTTGGCCGCGCAGCGCCTCCAGAACTAGCAGGGATAGCACCAGCGTCAGCAGCACCAGCGGCAGCACCAGCGTCAGCAGCACCTCCAGCACCAACAGCGCCAACTCCAGCACCCTCAAAAGCGCCAACGCCAGAAGAACTACCAGCACCAACACCCCCAGCAGCTCCCGCTCCAGCAGCTCCAGCTCCAGTAGCACCTCCAGCAGGACGCCCAGTCTCAGCAGCTCCAGAACTGCCAGGTGGAGCACCTCCAGAACCAGCAGCAACAGTAGTACCTCCAGCTCCAACAACACGGCTCCAGTGCCGGGCAAACCACTCGCGCATCTCCTGTGGAGAGAGTAGCTCCCGCGTCAACGAAGCACCGCCAGAGGCCACACGAGTAGACCCAGCACCCCCAGGCTCGGCAACCCCAGGCTCAGCACTCCCAGGCTCCGCACCCCTAGGCTCAGCACCCCCCAGCTCCGCACCCCCAGGCTCAGCACCCCCAGTCTCCGCACCCTCAAGCTCCGCACCCCCAGTCTCAGCACCCCCAGACTCAGCATCCCCAGGCTCCGCACCCCCAGACCCGGCACCCGCAGGCACAGCGCCCCTAGCAGCACAAGAGTCAACAGCTACCTCCACAGGCTCGACTGCGTCTACCTGGGACACACCTGACGGGGCAGGACCCTGAGGGGGGAGGGGGTCTACTGGGGGAGGACCTGGTGCAAGAAAGAGCGGCGGCGGAGGGAGGGGCGCAGTGCGGTAGGGGAAGATATGGTAGTAAGGCACCGACTCGTCAAAGGTGACGTCCTGGGAGGACAGAACACGGCGCAAGGTGGGGTGGTAGAACTGCCAACCAGGCGCGTTAGGGGGGAATCCAAGGAAGACGCAGGGAACAGCACGGGGGGACAGCTTGTCCGCAGACAAGTCGCGGACAAACGCCCGAGATCCCCAGACCCGAAACGTAGACGCATCGCCAACCTTCCCCGTCCACCGCAAGGTAGGGGAGGTCTCTAGCAAGGAGACCCGGGGCTGAAGGTTGAGCTGATGCGCCGCGTACTGAACCGCAAACGGGCACAGAAAATGGGGAGCAGCCGCATGGATCATGGACGTACGAGCGACGTCCATGACCATGCCAATGCGGCGCTCAGCAATCCCATTTTGGTGTGGAGAGGCCGGAAGCGTGAAGGTCTGGCGGATGCCCTGTGCACGACGGAAGGCTCCCAGACGGGCAGAGGAAAACTCCCCGCCTCTGGTAGAGTGCAGGCGCAGAACAGGAAAGTCCGAGCCGAAACTCTCTCTGAGCTGGAGACGAGCTGCGCGGATCCAGTCGATCAACACCTCGGTGACATCACCCTTGCTGCGCAAGGGGAACACTGTGGTGCAACGCGAGTAGTCGTCAACCACCAACAGGAAGTAACGCTCGTGACCCTGGCCACGGACGCGGGCGGGGCCCCACACGTCCATGTGAAGAGTCTGCAGGGGAGCCTCTGTCGGAGGAAACTCGGAGGAGTGAGGAGCAGCGCGCTCCCGCCCCTCGACGCTGGGGACGCAGGTAGGGGCAGGCCCCGGAGGTAGGGGAGGGAGAGACCGGGGGAGACCAGAGATAAGGACACGGGAGGCCATGCCTCGGAGACGAGGCAGGGAGGGGTGACCAAGGCGGTGGTGCCAAAGGAGAGTTTGGTGGGACAGGAGACGACACGAGCAGGGCGCAGACTCAGGACCAGACCCGGACGCTGCAGCAAACACCTGACTCGACGCAGCTACGTGACCAGACGCAGTAACAGGAGGAGACTGTCAGTAGATCTGCACTGTGGATGCCCGATTGATTCTACGGGGGGTTACAGGCACGTTTGTTTGGGGGGTTATGGGCGCACTCTGACCCGCTACTTAACATGCCCTTTTATCCCAATGGTCTAGTGGTTGGGATTCTGACATGGTATCAGAGCGGTCTCGGGTTCGATTCCCGGTGTATGCACATGTAGGCTGTTGCCGCTGTGCTTAGTCCTGGGCCTCCCAGTGTGGGGGGATGTCAGTAGATCTGCACTGTGGATGCCCGATTGATCCTGGAGAGGGTTACAGACGCGTTCGCCTGGGGGGTTATGGGCGCACTGACCCGCTACTGAAACAAGCCCTTCTATCCCTGTGGTTAGTGACTGGGATTCTGACATGGTGTCAGAGTGGTCTCGGGTTCGAATCCCGATGTATGCACATGTAGGCCGTTGCCGCTGTGCTCAGTCCTGGGCCTCCCAGTGTGGGGGGGTGTCAGTAGATCTGCACTGTGGATGCCCGATTGATTCTACGGGGGGTTACAGGCGCGTTTGCCTGGGGGGTTATGGGCGCACTCTAACCCGCTACTTAACAAGCCCTTTTATTCCAACGGTCTCAGTGGTCAGTGTGTACAGGCTCGACCCCGGCTGACGGGTAAACGTGGCCAAGTGTCGGCCCGTCCGAGCACAAGTACAGTGGGTCACCCGCTGACTCGCAGGTGTGAACTGTTGAACCGCTTGCTCCTGCAGATCAGCTCCACTCACCAAGTTCGTAGAGAACGAGGGGAGGTAGAGACCGGACAGATTGCCAGAGGGGGCTGCCAGACACGGTAAGACAGTGGAGAAGCTAACAAGGACAGGACCCCCAGAGGGGTCCGCCAGGGAGACCGCAACCGGCCGACTAAGCGGCGTAAGCGTGGTGTGGTCTCGCAAGAAGGAGCGGGAAGCACCCGAGTCAAGGGTGAAGGTGTGCAAGGCCTGAGCCGACGTAGTACCTGAGAGAGCAGACTCACCAGCACCTGGGGCAGCAGACGCACTAGCACCTGGAGTAGCAGCCTCACCAGCACCTAGAGCAGCAGCCTCAATGCCCGGGTCAGGCGGAACACATAGGTAACAGTCACCCTCATCACTAGTAGACATAGCATACATGGCAGCAAGAATAGCATCATAGTCAAGATCAAAGATAGCTACCCCAGCCCTAGACAGCTCTCCCCAGCGAGGGATCTCAGTGGCGTCAGGGAACTGATGACGCCAGGCGTCCGTCAGGCGGCCGAAGCAGCGCTGGGTGGAGTGCGTGCCACCGCACTGCTCACCAGCGCGGTCGCCTGTACGGAGGACGTAGGTGCAGGGACCGGCACCCCCACCCCGCTGACGCCCAGAGTACCACTCATGAAGCTGCTGAGGGGACAGGGTCTCACGACCGCGCTGCTGCTGCTGGTGCGGACCACCACTGGAGCCACTCCTATGCGCAGAGCCGCGACCAGCTCCACCGCCACCTCTGCCGCCTCCGCCACCTCCGCCGCCTCCGCCACCTCCGCCGCCACCGCCACCGCCGCCGCCTCCGCTCCCTCCGCCACCACCGCCGCCTCCTCCGCCTCCACTGCTGCCACCGACACCTCCACCCCCGCCACCACTCCCACCACCACCCCCACCCCCTCCACTGCCCCCACCACCACCTCCACCGCCCCCACTGCCCCCCCCAGCGCCCTTGCCCCCCTTGTCCTTGCCGGTGCGGCGCTTCCCGCTAGGGACAGACGCAGCGCTGACCGACTCGAAACCAACGAGGTCGGCCGCAGCAGCAGAGGCAACAAAGGGCAAGAGGGGGGAGGGAGAACACCCCTCAAAGACGGGGGTGCGAGGGTCACCACGAGAGGCTCCTACAGCGACTATGCTCTTCTCTACTGCTAGGAGGCGCTCCTCGAGGAGGTCAACGGTGAGTGTGGTGGGGCAAACTGAGAGGAAGTGGTCCCTGACTAAGCGAAGGGAGTCAGGGAGCCGGGTGACTTTGTAGTAGAGGGTGATGTACATGGGGGGGGGGGGTTCTCGGCACAGAACTCAGCGGGAAGCGCAGCGTGGTAGCGAGTGTCACTAGTGCGAAGGTGCGTAATGAGGTCAGCGACTGTGGGAAAGGCAGCAAGGTCAGGAAACAGGTACGGTAGCATGAGGCGGCTAGGCGCAGCAGTGGCAGGGGAGGAGTAGTGTGCAACTACAGCGTCGTACAAGGTCTTGGCACTCTTGTACTGGCTAAAGTGCGCACGCTCAGTGGTCGGTAAGTGGCGACGCACAGCAAGACGTGCAGCAGCATAGCGCGTGGCCCACTGTGAGCGAACAGTGCTCTCAGCAGTGGCAGGCGGGGCAGGGGAGACACTAGAGGTGAGATCGAACAGTGAGAGTCCGTCCGCCCTATCGTACCGTAAGAACAGCTGGAGGTCATCGACCCAGACCTCAAAGTCTACATCACGACCCTCAGTATCAAAGGTAAGGATATTGGGGGTAGCCATGACTGCAGTGGTCTATCAGGGAGTGAGCTCACCAGTCCAAGGAAGTAGGGCCGGGGCGCGCCGGAAGGAAGGGCGGCTCGGCGGCTCGGCTGCTGGGCGGCTCGGCGGCTTGGCAGCTTGGCTGGTGGGCGGCTCGGCGGCTCGGCTGCTGGTCGGCTCGGCAGCTCGGCGGCTCGGCTACTAGGCGGCTTGCCTGCTGGGCGGCGCGGCGGCTCGGCGGCTTGGCTGTTGGGCTGCTCGGCGGCTCGGCTGCTAGGCGGCTCGGCGGCTCGGTTGCTGGGCGGCTCGGCGGCTGGGCTGCTGGGCGCCTCGGCTGCTGAGCTGCTGGCGGCGTCAAAGGGGGGCCAGTAGAGACGTCGACGAGGCCATGAAGGGGCGGCGAAGGGGCCGCTGAGGGCGGCTACCGCGCCGCTATGGCGACGAAGGGGCCGGTGAGGGCGGCGACAGGGCCGACAGGGTCGGCGACGGGGCCTTGTAGGGCGGCGACTGGGCCGGTAGGGTCAGCAACGGGGCTGGTAGGGCGGCGACGGGGCCGGTAGGGTCGGCAACGGGGCCGCTTAGGGCGGCGACGGGGCCGCAGGGGTCGGCGACGGGCCCGATAGGGCGGCAACGGGGCCCCTGAGGGCGGCGACGGGGCCGCTGAGGGCAGCGACGGGGCCGCAAGGGTCGGCAACGGGGCCGATGGGGCGGCGACGGGGCCGCTTAGGGCGGCGAAGGGGCCGCAAGGGTCGGCGACGGGGCCGATGGGGCAGCGACGGGGCCGCTTAGGGCGGCGATGGGGCCGTAAGGGTCGGCGACGGGGCCGTATAGGGCGGCGACGGGGCCGCTAGGGCGGTGACGGGGCCGCTTAGGGCGGCGAAGGGGCCGCTTAGGGCGGCAACGGGGCCGCAGGGGTCGGCGACGAGGCCGAGAGGGCGGCGACGGGGCTGCTTAGGGCGGCTATGGGGCCGCGAGGGTCGGCAACGGGGCCAATCAGGGCGGCGACGGGGCCGCTAGGGTCGGCAACGGGGCCGGCAGGGCGGCGACGGGGCCGTGAGAGGGGCCACGAGGGGCCATGAAAGGGGCCGCTAGGGGCCTGAGAAGGGCGCGACGGGCCGCTAGAGGCTAGGACGCGACGGGAGGGAGGGCACACGGGGCGCGACTCGGGCAGGAGAGGAGCGCGCTCCAGGCAGAAAAAAAAGTTATGTGGTGGGCCCTTAGGAAGCGTTCCCACTAGGGAACCTGCTCTATACCATGTGAGAATCTGAGGAAGGAATGATTGCATTGAGCAGCATGAGGAGTACAAGTAGGAAACCCTAAAGTGTTGTACCCCATATTGACTACCCCACTACAGCCTAAACAGACTATAGCATATACGTTCGACATCAGGAACTCAAGGGTCTTGCCGCCGCGGCGCCGATGAGTGAGAACGTGCTCCACTTCGTACTCAGGTTCAACCTGTATGAGGATAGGTGGTGGTGGCGTAGCTGCCGTCCCTGGAACTGTTGGTTGGGGTCCTTGTAGAGCTTCATGCGAAGATAACTACTACAACGGGAGCTAAACTACGGGCTAGGCACGGATGCTCGATCGCTGCATTCGTTGTTGCTTAGTCGTTTTCCTAGTGCACACACTGCTTGCTAGTTCGCGGGGAAATTTGGCAAGAGTTTCACTAGAGAAAGTTAACACCAATGGTACAATGAATCTGGCATAGAAAGACTACATCAAAGGTAGGATGCAAGCCGGTCGACTGCCAGCGCAGCATGGTCGACCGCGTGCCAGCATTGCAAAGTCGCGGCTTGCCAACATTGCAAGTCGACGGCGTGCAAACGTCGCAGGTCGACGGCGTGCCAACGTTGCATCCGCAGAACAGCAGCGCACCTGCTTCGCAGGTGCTCGCAGATCATTGGTGCGCCGTGCCTTGTCATCTGCACAGCGCACGCACCAAATCGTCCTCGTGCTGACGACTACGCCTGATCCGCCACGTCGACCTCGCGATACCACCACCGAGGTCGGTCTCGCCAACATCACCTGTGCGACCGTTGTACTCCTTCGCAGAGCCTCGTCACCCAGGGAACCCGGTCAACCAGGCAACCACGTCGACCAGCTGCTCCTGTATGTCCCCGTCGACCTCCCAAATCGACGGCCACCTCTAGTCGACCTCACCAGGTCGACCACACCCTTGGCCGACACTAAGTCGACGCCCCTCTAAGTCGGCGCCGACGTCTAGGTCGAACTCTTGAGGTCGGCGACCTCCCAAGTTGGCGACCTCCCAAGTCGGCGACCCCCCAAGTCGGCGGCATTGCAGTGGCCCCGTGCAAGTCGGCATCACCCACTGCTGCAAGTCAGCTGCACCTCCCGTACACCCAATCACGAAGTTGGCTCCGCCTAAGCAAGGACGGGGCCCACAACAACTCCGGCTGACACTCTCCTGCCGCATTCACGCTTGGGCCTTCAGCCCACACGGCAGCACTGCTAAGAAAATAGCTCGTCGGTGTGCACTCAACACACAGCACGTTGGTCACCGCACCAGCCATGCAGAAGGGCATGGCACCTACTGCTGCACGTCGTCATCACCGTCGCCCACATCGGCCAGATGCACTTGGCTGATTGCGACGGAGCACCGGTTGAAGGCCAGATAGTGCAGCGCCTTCGTCAGGAAGTCGGACGGCTGCTCAGTGGTCGGGATGTACTTCAGCGAAAACTTCCCGCGCTTCACCATGTGTTGCAGCCAGGCCTGTCGTCGCTCCATGTGCTTGAGGTTGCCCATCAACCCAATGCCCTCGGCGACCGTGATGGCCGACTTGTTGTCCACCCTCAGAACAGTCGGCTTCCCAGCGTCCAGCTGCCGGAACTCTAACAAGAGGAAGTGAAGTCGGGTTCCTTCCTTCCCAGCTTCGGTTGCCGCCACGTACTCCGACTCGGTCGACGATAGCGTCGCGCACTTGATGTGCTGGCTCGACCGGGAGATTGCGGCCCCTCTGTAGATGAACACATAACTGCCCGTGCTCGTCCGGCTCTTCTTGTCACCGGCGTCATCCGCGTCTACGTAGCCGACCAGCTTCAGCGACTCAGGTCCACCGCCGAACTCCAGAGCGGTGTCGCGGGTGTTGGCGAGGTAGGCGAGACAGCGGTCGACCTCGCGCCAATGCTGGTCGCTCATCACCGTGAGGCCGCTCCCCAACTTGCTGCAGGCGAAGGTGATGTCCGGCCTCGTCGTTGTCGTCGCGAACTGCAGTGAGCCGACCTTCTGCCGGTACTCCTCCTCCTGACGCGCCTGTGCCTCCTCATCATCGAAGGTGAGATTAGCGTAGGCATCGACCGAGACCGGCGTCTTCGGAGTGCGCCCGGTCCGCTCCTCATCGATGAAGCACCTACGCAGCTTATCGGCGTAGCCCTGCTGATGCAGCCACAGGTTCCCCACCGACCTGTCGCGGACGATCTCCAGCCCGAGGTACTTCTGCACCGGCGAGATCTCACGCAGCTCGAAGGCGGACTCCAGCATCCCCTTCTGCTCCTTCAGCTTCTCGGTGCTGCTGCTGGCGGCAAGTAGGTCGTCGACGTAGACCAGCACCCAGCAAGCCACTCCGTCACCACTGACCTTGAAGTACAGAGCCTCGTCGACCTGGCTCTTCTTCCACCCGGTGTCGACCAGCACATCGTTGAGCGCTAAGTACCACAGCAGCAGCGACTGCTTCAGCCCGTACAGGCTCTTCAGCAGCTTGCACACCCAGCCGGTTCCGTAGTTGAAGTAGTCCGGCTGGGACATGTACAGCACCCGGTCGAGCTTGCTCTGCAGGAAGGCGTTCTTCATGTTGAGCTGCATCAGGTTGAGGTCGAGGCCGACGACGATGCTGATGAAGATCCTCAGCATGACGTAGCTGCCCATCGGCGCGAACATTTCGACGTAGTCGGCGCCGTACACCTGCGTGAAGGGCTTCACGACCAGCCTCGCCTTCTCGCGCTTGACGGTGTCCTCGATGTGGTACTTCGTGGTCAACACCCACTAGTTCTTCATGATGTCCACTCCCGGCGGACGCTCGACCAGCTCCCACGTGCCCATGTGGATGAGGCTTCGGATCTCCTCCTCCATGGCGGCCTTCACCGCCGGGCCCTTCCAGCTCGCCGGCGCCTCCTTCACCGTCATCGTCGAGATGTCCCAACGGTGCTCGGGGTCGGCATGCATGTCGGGGTCGAGCTCCGGAAACTCCTCATCCTCCTCAGCGTCGTCGTACAGCAGGTCATCATCGTCCACGTCGTACACCGTGGTGAAGGCAGCGGGGACGAAAAATTCAGGTGGCCTCCGAATTCGGCCCGACTGTCGAGGTCCAGGCGGGACCTCCAACACATCGCTGTGGGTGGACTCCTCGGCGTCCCCTCCGTCGTCACCGGCTTCGCTGCCCTCGTCGTCCTGCTGCACCTTGGTCGGCGTACTGGCCGACTTCTCCCCTATGGTCGGCTTCTCTCCCGACTGCTTGGTTGCCGAGTGCTCCGTGGTCGGCGTCACCACCGCCCGCTCCCCTGTTGGCTGCTGCCCTGCTGCCCTCTTCGCCGGTTTCACCCAAGTCGGCTGCACCTCCTCGACCTGGTCCTCCCCTATCAACGTTGGCTTTACTCCCACGTCAACTTGCTACTCGTCACGTTGGCCACCGGCGATGCCCTTGGCCGGCGCCGAAGGCGCCGTCCCACTACTCCCCTCATCGCCGGAGGCCGACACCGGGGTTAGCTCACGCAGGTCGACCACAAGGGGAGAGGTAGGAGGGTTAGGGGAGGGGAAGGCAGTGGGGACGTCTTCGACGTCCTCAGCAGCAGGCTTACCGACCTTGGCGAGCAAAGGGAGCGATGCCGTCGAAGTATCCGTCGGCGGGGTGGTCGGCGTCCGTCCCGACGCCGGCCCGAGCTCCGACTTCTACACCTCCAGCGACATATCCTCGTAGAACATCACGTCCGACGTGGTGACCACCCGGTTGGCGTCGATGTTGAGGAGCTCCCAGCCCTTGCTCGCTTCCGACACACCGAGATGA